ATTCCATGTCTTTGCTTGCGTGTTTACAGCATTCACCACAGTTCACCATCTATGCTTCTGCTGCTGCTGGAAAGCTATGTAGAGGGCTGATCACAGCTCCTTCGGATAAGAAGTTCCTTGGCATTGCAACATGTTTTTGCCACCGGGTCAGAAAACATTGGTGAGAAATTATATGATTGGTTGGTGTGTTTCGGGGGCCAGTGTGTGAATGCATTCATGGTTTTGCTCGATTCATGACTTTGTTGGAGTCACAGCAGAGTTTGGACAAGTCTCGACAACAGCTGCGACCTTCAAAAACGGGTGTGAATTGTGTGCGCAACGTGCGAACATATTTTGCAACTTGTGACTCGCGCCAAAGAGCTTTTCAAAGGCCGTTCCTATGGGAATATGCATGCTTCGCATAACAGCATCCGCGAGACGATGTTTAAAACAATACATTTGTGTTTGTTATTTGTACCAAAAAACGCCCGGCATTTGCAGAGGCTTCTGATATTTTTGACCCCCATGAATCTCAAACATCCGGAAATTTACATTGTTCAGTCACTTCATATTGTTGTGAAATGGTCAACCATCATTTCCGAACTTGAACAAATTGGGATACTTATCGGCCATGATATACATTCAAGCATCGTGCACCTTTGCACTCGGCTGGGCAGTGGCAAGTCATTTGTGGCAGTATTTTCAATCGGGCTGATTTGGTCAATGTTTTGTTGTCTATTTTAATCTTTGATTTCAAGTGTGCAGTGCTGAGTTCCGGCGTTGTGTTCGCCTCATGCTGGGCTGGACACAGTAAGAGTACGGCTAATATTAAATCGCGCAAAAGACCATTGGTTTGGGGCGCCCTGTTCTAATGCAAACTCGAATGAAATCAACTCAAAGGAAACTGCCATGTCACATCTTACTCTTGCCTGCGTTGCAAAACATGAGACTCGCTATCCTGACTCTAAGCGCGCGTCCTTTTCTTGCGGCGGCGCCCGCGCCTCAGAAAGAGCAGCATGTTCAACCGATCGTACACAACCATCAAAGACAACAATAAAGTAGAACACAATACAACCTTAGTGTAAAGCCACAGCTGGGGCAGGTTTTGGAACGCTTGGAGCAGCAGGCGCAGATGCGGCGGCAGCACCACCGAGTCCACTAAACAAAGCTGCGGCCATCCTCTGCTTCTCATTCATGGCACCCTTAGCTTCACTATTTCAGTCTTGACGGCAAAACAGGTTTTGCCAAGTTTCTGAAGGTTCCGCTTTTGGCACAGGTTTCTGGCTTGAGGTTTGAACCTCGGAATCGTTGCAAGCAAGTAAATTGAATGTTGTGCAATATGAGGCTAAATGAAAAAACGGAGAGCCCTACCTGGCTGAAACCTTGATCAGGAGCAACATGTTTCTCTTGTGGTGGGGCCGCTGGGGCCTGTGGGAATCGGAATGACATTTCTCTGACCCGAAAATGCAATTGCGTGCATTGCACGACAAGGGAAGCTGTTTCAAGCGGTTTCTCAAAGTTGATGAGCCCGGCGTTGTGGAAGTTTAGAGAGAGTACACCGATTCCAAGGAATCGGAAAAATGAGCGACCATGTTGAAACAGTATTGGCAAGAAAGGACATGCTTGAGAATTGGGCGGAGACCAGTTGTACACTTCGATAGAAAGTTCCGGTGAAGGATCATAATTTTCAGTGTGTTGTCAGTCACGCAATGCCCTTGACTGGCTACTTTTAGTGCAGAACCGAAAGGTGAAGAGTCAGTTCATTTGAAGGTGTTTCAACAAAAGTAGTTTGCGGTTCAGAACACACGCGCAAGACTCTGCGAAGAAACCGCGGCTGAGATGTGGTGGGGGAAGATTGGCGTCGTAGCTTGTCAACGCCACAAAACCAAAGCAGGCACATGGGACTGGCCAAGTCCCACATCCCGCGATATCACCCAGCTTTTGACCCCTGCTTGTGATTCAGTACGAGAAACGGAAAACGACGGGAGACCCCTGGAGACGGGGTGTGACACACACATGGCCGCAGAGCGGCGCTCGAATGTCAAATACCTGAATAGCCACCTAAAAAGCTTGTAGAAAAAGAGAGAAAAACAGAAAGAGCAAAAGCAGAGGGAAAGAGACAAAGATAGGTGTAGTGACATGCACATCTGTCGAGCAACGGTGCCGAGGGAACGGCAAATTACGGTGTTAAAAAGCCTGAGCAGCCACCTGACAAGCCTGTAAAGAAAGAGCAAAAAGAAGAGGGCAAGAGAGAAAGGTGGGCGTAGTGACATGCACATCTGTCGAGCCAAAGCGCCGAGTGAAGGGCAAATTAAGGCGTCAAAAACCTGAATAGCCACCTCACAAGCCTGTAGAAAAAAACAGAAAGAGCAAAAAGAAAAGGGCAAGAGAGAAAGATAGGTATAATGACATGCGCATCTGTCGAGCAAATCGGCAAATTACGGTGTCAAAAACCTGAACAGCCACCTAGCAAGCCTGTAGAAAAAAAAGACGGAAAGAGCAAAAAGAAGAGGGCAACACAGAAAGATAGGTGTAGTGACACGCGCGTCTGCTGCTGGAAACTGTTACAAGGTATCACGCTAGCATCAAGGGTGAATTGAGACCCAAATATTTAGTGAGGAGTCAACGTGAATCCGTCAGTAAAATTTCAGAAGATTCGTGAACATTGGCTGAGCAGAAAGTGGCAAACCGGCGAAAACGGGAAGCTGGCTTCGGCGCCCCTTGCGGGGATCACACTGCATACCCAGGTGGGAAGATGCAGCAGGTCACACTTCGATAGAAAGTTCCCACCCGCAGGTGCCCCTCTCACCCACGGATGAACCCTCTTCAAGTTTAAAAACCTAAACGGCGCGCAAGCGTCAACAAAGAAAATGTGCCCTACACTACGTTAACGTCCACTCGTGGCAGTATATATTTATATTGACAATATTTCGCGCCTTTTCTTGACACTCAAACGGGCTTGAGCCCATTGAAAGTGACTTGACATGATGCAAGTCACGCTCTACAGGTAGACTGTGAACTGTATGGAAAAATTGGTTCGCGCTCCTTCTTGGCGATGTGAGACTCTAAAAAAAAGCTCCTTGGAGCTCACATTGCCACCGTAGTCCATTCTCTTCCATTTCATGCTTCTCTTTCTTTCTGTGAACTGTCTAAAGGCTGACGATATCTCTGTTTGTTGTCTGTCTGGAAAGTCTCTCATGACTGCACATTCTAGCAGTTCTCTTTCTCTACTATACCTGCTGCCTCGTTTTGTCCACTACTCAGAAGCTTCCAGTGAGGTTGGAAGAGATGAAGGAATCCAATGGAAACGGGAAATTTTAGATCGAGGTGATCGTTGCAATCAACATCTTCCTTGCAGTAGTGATCTTTATGGTCTTGAATTGAAATTCCAAAAGGACAGTGGTGAACAATGGGGTCATACAGAAAGACGCTACTATGACACTTGGCAGCATTTTGCATGGAGAGCAGATGGTATAGAATACAGGACCAAGGAGTTAGACAGTAGAATTGAAGATCTTGAAGGAGACGCCAATGAGGTTAACTATGGAGACAAAATTGAAAGACTGCGCAACTATGCCAGGAGAATTCATTGTGGATTGATTCTCATGGGAGGCTTTACTGAACCCGATACACCAGATACCGCAACAATCAGCGCCTATGATGCGCTACAAGAGTTGAACGCAGGAAACTTCTTAGCAAGAAGGAGCTTGGAAGATATGCAAGCATCAACAGAACAGTATTGGGGACATAAAGTAATGTTCAAGAAAGCTACAGATGGAGCAACACCATCAGAAGGACCATTGAGCAAAATCTTCAACATAGGGAACAGAGAGATATCGATGAGAGGCCAATACATTGCAGAGCAAGCAAGTCAGTTGCGTGGTCGACTTGAAGCAAAGCTTGGGCAACTCCATGAGAAATACACAGAAAGGTGTCTCCTTCTTTGAAGAACGCGTCTGTAACCATTGGCTGCAGGCATCTTTGCCATCTTGTTGACCTTTCCTGAAAAATTCTTCTTTTCAAACTCCCTTCCCTAATATTCTCCTACTCTCACTTGGTCTTCACTGTGCCAGTAATCAATTAGGCTCATCAAGTATCTGGTTCTTTGTCCTCCAAGTGGCTTTGCGTTGAGGTCTGCCATGCTGCTATCTGTTGGCACTTGTACCATCTTGAAATCTTTCCTGTTCTGAATCCATAGCAACTTTCCACCTAGGTGTCTCACTTTTTTCAACTCCTCTCTTTGTCACAAGTTGACACGCGCTCAATGAATCTGTGAAGATGTAATGGTCAACCTTTTCCCCAAGAGCAATTCCAGAACTGCTCTGATGTAGTTTCCATCTGATGCTGAGGAAACTATTGCGTGTAGTTCTGCTTCACATGAAGGTAAGCTTACAATCTCCTGTGTCCTGCTGCTGTTGAACAATGGGCAGCTATTCAACGCATGGAATCCTCCTGATGTTGACTTTCTGTGGCTTTTGCTTCCGCTCCAGTCTGGATCTGAAAATGTCCCCAAGCACCAATAGCTTTCTCCTCCCTTGACATAACCTTCTCCTTCTTGTTGAAACTCAAGCGCTAGGCAATAGTCCATTGCCTTCTTCAAGTAACCCAAGAATTTCATCAAGTGATGAAATGCCATAGCTGTAGGCTTTGACATTCTTGAAGCAAACTCCTTCACTGTGAACGCTACATATACCTCTCTTGACATGGATAGATACCTGATCCAACAATGCTTCTAAAGGGCTAATTTTCTCTGGAGCAGATGTGTAGGGGAATGGCCGAAAGTGGCCTGACATGGAGCGGCCTCACGCAGGTGAAATGTTGAGCGCAGCTGCGGTGTGGACGCCGGCGCAGGTGACTTTGGTTCCAAGAAGAGGGTGAGCAAGACTGCCCTTGAAGCACCCGCGCAGCCAGGTGGTTTGCGCCGAAGCAGACCACCCCAGACACGTATCTCACAACACAAGATGTGCATCAGTTGCAGAGCGCTGACATTCCATCCAGCTCGAAGGTCGACGTGTTGGTCATCAGATGTGCTCGCGCAAGACTTCTGACTTGTCTTCCATCTGGATTGAGTTGTCTGCTGGTAGTTGTTGGGGTTTGGTAGGTCCAATCTGCCCTTCATAGGCTTTCAACATCTGCTGGATGTAGTTGCCTGGTTGGATCCATAATCCATCACCTTTATCTTCAAGTTTGTACTTCCTCCTAAGAAATTGAACTCATCTCCAATCCTCTCAATCTTGCACACAATCCTCTCAATCTTGCACACTGGTGTCGAATTTGCCTTGAACCTTTGGAAGAAAGATTTCATTGATGCGCTTCGAGCCTCCTGTGAAAATCAAGTCATCCGCATGGACCGAATGATACGCTTCTCATGTCTTCCTAGGCGTGGGCGCCCAGCACTTTTGTCAAGGTAGATTCTCTTCACTAGGAATTCTTCTCCTCTCAAGATCACCTTTAATGGTTCTTTAATGGTTTCTATTGCGGGGCTTGTAGCAACGCATCCTTCACATCAAGACATCCTAAATACATCCTAATGTCTGTGAGAATGCTCCTGCTCCCTGTCTTGCCCCATGTTCTTTGGTAACTCTTTGCAAGAATATTGTGGGTAGAAGCTTCAGTACATGTCCTGAAGCTGGTGCGAAAATGTCGTCTCTCTTTCCTTCAACGAAAACAAATTCTCTTGCAACTGGTCTTGATCTTCTCCCCCTCTTGACTGAAATACAATCTCCAAGTTGATATGGTTTCTTCCTCCAGTCATACACACTGCGTGTTGTCAAGTAACAGATTCCTTTTGCGCTTCCCGCTGGTTTCTCTAGCACTTGCATCTTCTGGAGTCTTTTCTCCTCCACTTCATCAGCTACTCTGTCAACCCATTCTTCTGGATCTCCTTCTGGTTCATGCTCTCCATCACGCCACAAACATTCGGGTCCATTGGTTTCTTCTAAGTCTGAATCATCATCTTCTTCATCAACCCGCTCTTCTTCGCCGACTTCTTCTGCAACTCCTCATCTACATGGCAAAGACCTTCTCCTCCAACTTTCACCATGTTGGTCTTGGCCTTCTTGCTTGAACCATCTGATGGCCTGAGTTTCTTCGTTGGGCTTTCCTCCTCAAGCCATTCAAACGCTTCTCTGGGCCTGGATGGCGCTGATGATGATCTCAGTGAATATGAGATAGGAGTAATTGGGTTTGGCTGTCCTGCAGGCAATGATGTAGGGGGAAACGCTTTCACTTCTTCAGTCTTCTCATCTGTAAAGAGACATTTCTGCTTCTTGCTTGGTGTCTCTTCTCCACTTCTTTCACTTCCATCTCATTTCATTGCTTCAAGAAGGATCTCCGGCGCGGCTGGAGTCTCCTTTGACTCCTTTGGCTCTCGAAACAGTTGTTCTTCTTTCTTCGAATCACTTTCCTCCTTCCAGCGCCTCGGCCATGATTGCTTCTGCGTCCTCATCTCCTCATCTCTGAATTTCACCATTACATGGTCTAGAGGAGTATCACTCTGCGCTGCTGGTGATGCTTCTGCTCTCCTCTTGGTGGCTATAATTCTGCCTCCAAAACTGGCTTGATACTCCCAGGAGAATGCATTGAAGCTTTTGCATATGGGTAAGTATTTGGGCCAATCTTGACCTGTTCTTCTGATGCATTTGCTAAGCACTACCTGCGCTCCATCTGTGAGTACATAGGTAACTTGCCTTTCAACTTTACCCATGAACAAGCGCAAATGCTATCTCGCTTCTCCTTTGATAAGGCCCTTGATGTAACCATGAACTGGTTCACCATACTCTGCTATAAGTCCTTTATAGCTCTTGCCATAGACAAGTTCATATGGAGTTGCTCCTTTGACTGGTTGAAATCTATCCAATACCCAACTGGCATGTCTTGCTGCCCAATTCCAAAGTGCATGATCTGATCTGGCCCAATCTCGATACCAAGTCGACTGCACACCCTCAATGAAAGTTCCTGCCAGCTTTCCCACCCTGTCAACTGTATTCTCTGACAGAAATGAAGATCTCCAAGCTTTGAGTTAACCAATCTGGTAGTGAGTCCTAGACTGCGGCGAGCATTGATCAGCATCTTTAGGTGATTGCTGAATGCCCCAGCAGTTGACTGAAATTCATCAATTCTTGCGCAATTAGACGAAGCTGGCCTTTGCTCCCTATTGGCGCAACATGAACTAATCCAGTTTGGCTGTCAATTGCACCTAGCCAACATACAGCTCTTGCTGAGATTGTTTCTGAGCCTCTTGCTCTTGTATAGCAAGTCAAAACTTATCTCAGGAATACTTCCTCTCTTCATCCGACCTGTTCGTTCATGGCGATCTGGGCGCGCTCGATGCACTCCTTACACCAATTGGCATATGGCATGTGTGTCAATCTATGCCTTGCTTGAGTTGCTTCATCTGGCATCTTTGCCACACTTTGTCCTAATTCCTCTCTAGTCTCCTGAGCTTTTGCTTCGCTCACCAAGCATTTGGCATTCAAGAATTCCATCTTTTCGTTGTGATCCAGGATCTTGGTGTAGACCTTTAGCTTAGAGCCACTGCCTGAAATGCCGAGAAATGAACAAGCTGCCCTCAGAGTTGCCAAAGATGAACCTTTAGTCAACTCTTTCCGTTCACCGTCTATATCCATTGGGCTCAATTGCAGCTCACACTCAAGGTCGTCTTATTTCTTTTCTTGAAGACCTTCTACCTCCTTCTCCTGTGGAGTAGGGGTCTAGTGCCTGCTGCACTCCTTTCTTTCTTTGCTCTTGGTTCTCAAGCTTCTTGTATCCTGGCGCAAAGAACCCCATCTCTGGTGGTGCTGGCTCATAGCTGAAGATTGTGTTGATTGAAGGAATGGTTGCGTCATCATCAAAGAATTGCTCATCAAGTTCATCCTTTTTCATCGCGCTCTCACAATACGCAGGGATTCGCCATCGACCTCCTCTTTTCACCAAACCCTCTTTTCACCAAAGTAGTTCTCAACAGCTCTGGTGGTTCTTCCACGTCTGGAATGACTGTGGGACCCACCAAACTTTGAAGTCAATAAGCTTCCCGCTTCAGGTACTTGAGCCTCCAAGCAGTTCCTATCTTCATCTCAACTGACTCTACTGCGGCCTTGAACGGTCAAAGAGCGATTTTGCAGGTTGAGTGGTACCTTCAAATCACCATTCTCCAATATTTGCTCTCTGCTGCTGATTCTAACCATGTTCCATCAACCCCCCTTAACAAAGTATAAGCTGATTCACCTTGGAACTGAAGATCGCATTCTCTTTGAAAAGAACTTCTCGTCCATCAAGGTCACGCAAGGAAATTTCCACTTTTCGCACCTCCTCTGGGGGTACGATTTGCTTGAACATCCTGTAGCTTGGTCTTTGCGCTGAATTGCAGCTCTCCATTCCCACGATCTGCCACGCTCAAAGGGAATAATGCTACATCTGCTCCACTGTCAATAATGATGGCCACATCCGCAGTCTCTTCCCCAAGTCTTCTCACCATGGGTTCATCATGTGAGATGTAAATTTCTTCAACTTCTTAGAATTCTGGCTCATCATCATCATCATCATCGTCTCCAATGTAGAAGTGAATTGCTCGAGTTCCTTGATCTTCTAGCTCATCATCTCCTTGTCTCAAGTCAAAGATGGTTGGCTCACAGTTCACAATTCTCCTGACCGCGGGTTTGTTTCTCTGCTGAGCTCGCTTGTTGGCCCACGCTAGCATGTTGTTGACCAACTGTATGATTTGTCACTGTTGCTCATCCCGAAGATGAATGGGTCTGGTCACTTGCTACCTGTCGAATATAGTTCCTCCAGCAGTCTTTGGCAAACTGTTTTTGCTTTCCACAAGTGTACACGCTGCCAGGCAATTGTCTTTCTAATCTTTGCGTTTGCCTTTACCCTTATGGTCACCTTCTTTTCCTTTCTGATCTCCTTTTCCTTTCTTCCCCTTGCTCTTGGCATCTTTACCTTATCCTTTCTGACGGTCATTCTTGCCCTCCTTACCTTTTCCTTTGGCATCTTGGACTCGATCAACATACATTGGCATAGGTCCTTGATATTCTGTGCTGCTACTAGCCACCGTGGAAGTAGCCCACTTCTGTTGAGATCTATCCCATTGCAACACATGTTCCCTCAAAGTTGAGTGTAGAACTTTGTCACCAACTGTCAAGTTCTAGGATTTGAGTTGTCCACCTACGCATCTCAAAAGAATAGCAGGTGTCAACTCTTCCTGACTTGTAGTCCCTGCCTTGACAGTCTCATCAAATACCTCTTCAAGCTTCAAGAGTTGAGGTTGTTGCGCGCTATTCGTGGAAAATGCTGGCCAAGTAGTGCCTGCTCCCAAGTGCTCCAAGCCTCTTGCCTTTGAATTTGGTTTCAAAGCTTTATTCAAACTCCTCCAAGCATCAAATCCATTGGAGTCTTCCAAATTGCAGCGCCCTTCCTCTCATCAATGAAGCTAACAATCCATAGAGCTTGATGCATCTAGCCTTCTCTGCCTCAGTTGCCAAGTTCATGTCAAACTTGTCATTTAGCTTTTCTCGAATTTCCGTCAAGTCCTTCACGTAGCCCTAATCAACTGCGCCCAAATACTTGTTAAAGACCCATGACCACTCTCTAAATGCCTTGATCTTTTCATCCTGTGACTTTTCAGTCAAAGATGTTGGGCTTTGCTATCAGTTTTGACCTTGCGCCAATGTCTCTTTGACACAATGTACTGGGTACAGAGTGTCGCTAACAACCATTTTCACCAGTCGTTTGGGTTCCAAAGGCACCAAATCTATGGCTCACACTCGCACCCGGGGTCCCAGTGACCTAGGGGCTTTTCAATCAGAGCTCCAGACGCACCTTCTCTTGATACTCACAAGGGCGTGGCAAGTAACTTGACACAATGCAAGTCATGCTATACAGCAAGACTGTGAACTGCATGGAAAATGGCTTGCAAACGTACATATGTCACGTCAACCATGGACAAGCATGATCGCCGGCAGATTATTACACGAGTCCATGAATCTGAAATGAATGAAAGAAAACGGGTGGCCACCAAGTTTGTTCTAAACGCATGCTTTCCCAATGCAAAAATCAGAAACCGCTGGATGAGGCCTGGGGAGGCTCGCCTTTGCCACCAGGCTGG